TACAGGAAAATGATCTACCATAAAGCTGCACTATACTATAGTTTAGATCTGTTTGACGCTGGATACAATTTTCTGCACTGGGGTATCCAAAGGTGTCAAGATGCCTTGTGCTGCTTTAGTATCAAATCTGTTCCGTAAGTAGGTTTTTCTCAGCAAGCTTTAGAGTCAACCTTATATTGCATAGACATGATACCTCTAAGTGATATACATCTTGAAGATGGGCTCTCAGACCATGTGATGTCAGTCCTGTAATAGTATATTAAGATTTATGCCACCTGTGTTAAAAACATGGATAATTATTGGTAAATACTGTTATGGCAAAGGCATTACTATAATATAGTGCAGTTTTACAAGCTGACATCGGCAATACTGTATTTCTCGAACTGACAGAAATTCAGAATGTACAGCTAGGGTATTGCAACTTGAGTTTCTATCTAGGGAAAAGAAGGGATTTGAAGAGAGCCAAGAAAAGCGGTTTTATTCAGAAAGTATAAGCACACCTGGTGAGTTAAACACAGGAGCTGAAGGGGCATTACATACAACTGTTTCAGCGAGCAATGTGTTATAGGGGTTGTTAGTGCCATGTGGTCGAAGAAGAGGGTTTGTTAGTAGGTAATTGCCAGTCATTCCTAAAGCAAAAGAAACAGAAAAAAATGTCAGTTTTTTAATTTTAGGCTGACAGTTTCAATGAAGAATATTTTTTATTCATCATGAATCATGTAGGACTTGTCAAACATAATTCAGCTGAAAATTTCTGAATGTATCTGAGCTATGTATTTGAAATGGGAGTAGGAAAATACAGTTAGATTCCAGTAATTCACAGATGCTGTCCAAATCCCCAAAGTAAACATCTGGTGAGAGTGACATTTACTAATGTATACAAAATCACTTTTACACAAGAATAGCAATTAAATGTGTAGAGATTAAGGTAATACATAAAGCTATTATAACTTTTAAAATGATAGTATGGAACACTTCTGTCCCAAACTGAGGTAATTTAATTTCTCACATTGGAAGGTATTGAAAAATCTCTTATGACAGGACCAGAGCTGTTATTCACTTTATTAAAAACACACAGATAGTGGAAGGGAATTGCTGTTTTCAAACAGACAGTGGATGACAAACTGCAAGAAGCATATCTTAGTATATGCAAAAGTATGCATGCTGAGGGGAAAGCAAAATATTTGCTCTAAGAAATCAGAGCATTCACATTTTCTCCCGGGACATTCATGCTGCAAATTTATCTGCCAGGTTTTTAGAAAAGAATTCCTCAAATGACAAATTTTCTTCAAACAATCAGTTTACAAACAATGTAAGGCGAAGCAAAATACTACATGAACAGATTTTTTTAAAACCCATTTTACATGTTAATGCAACACTATTTAAACAACCCTCAGAATAATTAGAAAAATTATTTTGAGAAATTATTAAAAAGTCAATTTATCTCTGATTTCTAGCTACTACAAGAAAAATGGGTTGGAATAATGACAACCCACACACACACAAACAAAATGCTGTGATTTAAAACTTACTTTAAACATTTAATTAATGTAGAATTCCACTTTCTTTTCTATTGCATTGCATGGCTGTGTATCAGGAAAAGGGTTTACAGACCCAAGGACAACTACAGAGACAGCTATATTTTTATAGTATAGATATTTGCATTTGGCAAGGAAAAGATAGTACATATTCCACATATTAATGCTTTTGTCCTACCATAGATACTCGGTAGCAGAAACGAACAAAAAATTCTAAGATTCAGAGAATTCTTGCCTGATCACGCTAATCATATTTGAAAGTCCTCATCAGTGAAAAACTAGAAGGGTTTTATTATAGCTTTTTTCAGTTGTAATATACTTATTACTAGAAATACTAACTGAAATATATTTAAATATAT